AAAGGTCCATTGTCCATCAGATTTGAAACAAAACCCAACAAGCTGAATATAGCATACGTTTGTCATATTAGTGCCAAATAAAGTTGACTAACCTGTTAGAAAGTTAGTTAGCTAGTTAGTACTCACACATCCAGCAGACACAGAGCAACATTAGCACTCATTTGGAGTCATGTTTCTGGTCACCTGAGCACTCCTTTTAGCTCTGTGTTGCTAGCTGCTAAATGCTCAATAGCTGTTCACTAGTTGCTAGTTGCTAAGCTTTTTTTGCTGTTTAGTGCTGGACAGGTAGCTTACAGTGGGTTTTTGCTGAAAACAGCTGCCTGTTGTGGCTACTCATAACCATTAGTGCAGTATCAAAGACACGTTAATGGACACTTCCTGTGTGCATATCGCCTTATTAGTAATAGGCCAATCAGTGGGGACAGGTTAAGTTAAAGGCCCTTAAAAACATAACTATAAAAAAGAATCATACCAATAGCAAAAAAAGGAAACAACAGTGTCACACACTTTAGTTCTCGATGCAGAAATTTAGTTTTTAATATAACTCACATGTCCGTGGTCAGCATCTCATTTCTGGCATGCACTCACACTTTTTAAACCCGACAGGTTCCTGCTTTGCTGTACAAGCAGACACAGGCTGAGGAAGCAGTCTCCTGACCTGCAAGGCTTATTATGTGTCATGGGAGTTAATGGGCCTTGTTCCTGCTGTGTTCAGCGTATATGGAAAGTTATGTGCCAATATGAGATGTCCATCATTTGATAAATGTGACATCTACTTCTACAAAATGATTGACAGCACAAAATTGGAAGAAATTACAAATCAGTTTGAAGGACAGCAGGTAAATTATGTCCTTTGCTGACAAAATGATCTTTTCTTTTCCCAGATTGGCTCTTCAACTTCTGGTAATGATATTTTTGCTCTGAAAATGATAAATATAGTGTTTTAAAATTGAACTTTTTATGTAGAATGAACGTTGTCAGTGCTATATCACTCACTCTCTGTGCAGTTTTAATGAGCTTTCTGTGTTATTATCATCACACCTGACAGTTTGGCTTCATGTCTGAACACTGTTGGTGGAACAGTATGGTGGTAAGGAAGAACAGCTGAAGAGCATTTTTTTTTAATACTAATAAAATCAGCCAAAACTTCCCATGTTTAATCTGCTCTATGAGATTTGTCTTTTTTCATTGTCTCAAACACTTCAAATGCAACCATGAGTTATATTTTATGCTGCCTGAAAATAAATGATTATTTAAATAAATGATTATTTAATCTCAAGATAAGAATGAATTTATATTTTTATTTATACTCTTAAATGTAGAAAACCACAGTGTATTAGTTTTTCTTCAGAGTAAATATATCTGAAAATAGGCTCCAGCTGCCACGCTGTAGAGATTTATGCATACACACCTCTCCTTTCTCCCATTTTTTAAACTTCTGAGTTAAATTTCAGTTTGAGGTAAGAAGCAAATCCCATTTACCCGTCAAATCTCGCTCAAACGAGATAAATTGCATTGTTATCGGAAAACCTGCTCACATCAAAGGAATGAGTGAAGAGGGAGTTCCGCTGTGAATCTATCAACGGAAATTAATTATCCATCGTAAATGAAATGAGCACACCAGGGGATTCTCCACGTCAGATCAATGGAGCAATCTAAAGGAGTTTATGAGTGAGAGCAGATGTGTGTGTGCGCGCACGCAGTCATGTGTTTGTATACTTGTGAGGGCCAGTGGAAAAAAAGGTTGAGAGAGTCCTCCATAGTGAGGACGCTTTAGTTTGTCAGAAGAGTATCAGGATTAGCACTTCAAATGTTTAAACAACATCCCCGGTTCAATTTGGACCTTTGTTGCGAGTCCTCTGGTCCGTTGAATAAAGTCATTAAAAAACTAAATGAATTAGGATTAGGTTGTTGTTAGGTTAAGGGGAACAAACTCCTCACTCATAGGGGCGTATCCAGGAGGCGGACAGAACAGGGGTGGTGAGGGTCACCCTTTAAATCTAACTGGCCACCTCATGGTGCCGTGCATGAAGCTGTACACATAAATGGCTGATGGCCGTGTTAATGCTGCAACCATCAACCCAGCATGTTATCTCATGTCATCCCATTAGTACGTGATCCTTTGATGTGACTAAGACAAAAAGTATGTCTAATCACACTGACACACATTTAAGGATTAAACCCAGAGGAAACTGATGTATTTTGTATGCATATGATAAACAGTGATAGGTTGGTGTTCCTGACATGATAATATGTCATAATGCAGCCCAGTAGTACCCAGAGAGTTCAGTCCATATGCAATTCTGCACTTCACGATTCACGTCCAGTGCCAACGTTCAGAGCCAGTGCAGGAAGTAGTGTGCCCTTTAAGTGGCGAGTAAGAGCTTGGAGGTCTGGGTAGTGGATCGGTAGCATGTCTGACTTTAATGCAAGAGACTTGAGTTACAGACCTACAATTAGTGTCTGCTTTTATATAAACCTTTACCAAAATCATTCCCTAACCTTATCTTAAGTGTTGTAGTTGCTTTAGTCTAATATCTTAACCATATTTACTTTCCCAAACCATAACCATACAGCAGTTGCTGTGCTACAGCGGCTACTCGCATAGGCTACGAATCTATTCTGTAACCTCTTAAAAGATTACTACAAATCCCCCAAAAGAGGTGGTTGAACATTGCATAGGACCCCGAAAAATGCTCAGGCTGGCTCTACATTTTAAACAACCTACCTGACCCATTCTATTGTACATAAATAGGTTTGTTCATACTTCATACAGCTGCTTATCATTTTGTATATTGTTTTGTTTATTTCATATATACCACAGTTACATCTGTTCTTGCTATCACTCTTTATCACTTTATTGGTATATTGTTCATTCTGTACGTTACTGTACACTCTACACACTCTGGTTAGGGCTTTAACTCTATTTTGCTGCACCATTACTGTGTGCAATGACAATAAAGTCAAGTTGAATTTAAAGTAACATGTTTGCTGTTGTGCATCAGTGTACTGAGGCTGAATCTGTAAGATCCTAACATATATATGTACAAAAGACAACATGCAGGACCAGCTCACAATGATGTAAATAATAACCATAGCACAAATAATTAACAAAATCGTAAACAAAAGCTGGCATTTATCTTTGAGATTAGCATTATGCAATGAATGTAGTCAGTGGAAAGGATGATGCAATGAAACGCTTGATGTGCGTGTATGTCTGGAAGCGAGTATCGGCGTGTCCATGAGTGTGTAGGTGTGTGCACTAATAAATCAATGGGTCCTGACATTATAACAAACACCAGCGGCTTCACACACACTCTTTCAGTCTGGAGTGGGAGACAATGGAATTGCTCAGTGGATTCCATCTGTGGCTCAATGGGAAAGCAGCTAACACAATGAGGAACTGATAAAATGTGTCAGTCACCAATGTAAGCCGGGGCTGATGATACTGAGCAGCAGTCAATTACAGAGTTCTATTACAACTCCCAAAAAGGTCCCAGCTGTCTTTCTCTGCATCATTATCAGCTAAATTAGCCGTCCTACAGCTATTCATGGACGCCCACGGACTATTTTTACCCGCTGACGTGTCTCGCACTGTTTGGAAATGAGATTGTGTGCTGCACTGAAGTTTTGGTTTGAGTTAGGAGAGCATTCGCATTCTGAGTGCAGAGGCTGGTTATCTTCCTGTTGGTCACGAAGCATTGCACAAGTGCTGTAGATACTTACACATGCAAATAATCCCCCTCCACTATGAGACAGAAACAATAGCATTGAACTACATGTAAGTAAACTAGTGGTTTAACTACATGTTGCAGTAGCTTGCTGGTAACTCCAATACATTCATATAGTGAATGCATAGGGATTCAAGTAGATAAATGACTTTCTTTGTGTGGTTAACTACTGATTCTCCACAATTCAATCACTTCAGTTCATTTTTACGTAAACAATGAGCACCAAAGCATCAAATAAAAGTCCTGGGCTATTAATAAAGTTTTACAGTATTTATAAATGTTCAGAGAAATTGTTGCTATGTTAGACGTTACCTGCTGTCTGAGGGATCCGGCTTGGTGCAATACCCCCACCTAGTTTCTGGAAGGTCTGACTGATGGACATACGAAACCAATGCTGACATATCGGGTTATTGGATTTTTTGGTTTATGTATGACCAGTGAACAAGTGGGCACTTGATGCAATAAACTAAAATTAAATTGGCTTTTCTTTGCTCGTATATGACTTTTTGTAATTTATTTTTGTTATAATTTCGAATCACAACTTGATCTTTTCCTTTTTTTACAAAGTAGTTTGAACTACTTTTTCTAAGCAGCTTTAGTTAACCAGACTAGATTTCTCTCTAGGGTAGCTTTGCTTTATTTCAGTTTCTTTTTCCAGTGTGAAGTAATTGGTAGCTTACAAAGTTATGCTTTTAAAGTAGCTCCCCCAACACTGAGAGCTCGACTAACTTTCGCCCTGAGGGGTTCATCACTGATTAGACCATCAGTATCATTTTGTGTCATTATTGATTTCTCAAGTCAAGTTACTGCAGAAATATAAATAAAACATTTAAAAATGCTCTAAAAATAAAATGTTATTGCATGAGGCACACACACAATAATCACACAGCTTTCCACCCCCATATTAACTCCCATATTCACATGCAAACAAAGTGCACGCAGCACTATCAAACTGCACACAACGCATTACGCAGAAGCTGTTATCGTGATTGAAAATAACTTACTCGGACAATCACAAACACAAACACACCTCTATCAGGGTTTGGAGCAGCTGTACCCACACTGACACACACACTACAGTGTCGACAAGGCATTTAGCAGATGCTCTTATCAACAGCGACTCGTGACGACTGAGAGTGACACACACACACACACACACACTCACCATGGTATTGAAGGCTTGCTGGAGCTGCTGCTGCAGGAGCAGACCGCAGGCCACACACTCCCCCTGGCAGTCACTGCGTCCAGGGGCGAAGAGACATGCCAGCACCACCACCATGTACCACAGAGGGATCTTCATCGCTCAGCGCAGCCAGACAGGCAGTGACAAACAGGAGCCCAGCAGGTAGAAGAGAGGAGTCTACAACAAGGGCCAAAAGCTGAAGAATCTGGGAGACAAAGCCTATGGGATCTGGGTCCAGCCTACGGGGAGAAAAGCAGACAGGAACATTGCAGACAGGAACATTGCATCAATTCCAGTTTACAGGGATCATTAGCTGGATTTTTGGGCGGTCAGTCAAAGCGTTGGTGGTGGGAGAGTGTTCAGCCAACACCAGGAGATGGACAATGTGGGTGGGATGGAGAGAGCACAACCTGAGGCAATAGATGAGAAAATGGGTATTTTCCAGTAAGCAGGAGGCAGCTGCTCCAGGCGTGTGGATCACTAATGGAAATCCTACAGCAGAAATAGATAGGTTATATGATCTGTGCTCGAAGAGATCTAGGTAATCACGGGTGATGACCATTGGTAGAGGGGCAAAGAAGCAACAATTGTATTCATTCTGAAGGGAGATGTAAGGTTAGTGTCTGTGTTGGAATAAAACATCTCGGTTCCAAATAGATAGTGAAGAAATGTTTTCGTAAAACTATACCCAAGAAGATGTGTGTGTTATCTTCTAAGTGGAGGATCCTGGTGTCTCTGGCCCCTGCTACAAATCTGTGAACCAGGTGCGCACAGCGTTTGTTGCTTGACCTCCACTCCCTGACCCCCATCTACCCCGCCAGTCACCGCTATATCATCCAATAACACAGAGATAACAGAGAAAAAACAGCCACTCAGAACATCACTGATTGCTTCTGCTGTGTCACCAGAACCTTTGCTATGGCCTCTGCAGGTTTATGAACCGAGGCCATGGCTAAAATGGACCAATGTACTTCTTTATGTTGGGCTCACTCAGTTACAGGTTTTGTTATTTTAATTAATAATTTATCATTTACCACTTTATTAACTTAAAGGTTTTTTAGAGTTATAGTGGTGCAATGGAGCAGTTTTTCTGTTTTCTATTTCGTTCATCTCATGCATGTGCACAAGGAAACACAGGCATTCCACGCATGTACGTGGGTGACGTGATATACACTCCTACCGATGGTGTCACACTATTCCTCTGATCAACAGGTAGTGGTTACATGCCCAGATATGCTGCAATGTGCCAGTAGAGGCAGTGAAAAAGAAGACCGCAAGCTAGTAAACATGGAGATAAACAACGCTGTAAGTAAAATACTCAGGAAATGCATTCAACAGGTTTGTTAGAGCTTAAAGATACACAGATTTGGTGAGTGACAGTGAATGGAAACATAAGCAGTGAAAATGAATCAAAACAAAAGGTTTCAGTTCAATCCAGGCCATAAAACCAAAACAAAATGTAGAAATATGTTAAAAATGCTCCATATAGCTGAGGGGAACTCAGATTCAGGTGGTAATTCTCTTTTACGTCCTATGATGAATTGTTAATATTGATTACAACAGCTTTTGATAAAGCTACATTACAAGAAAATTTCCCATAACTTATCTACAGTACAGGACCCCAACTACAGAACCAAATTACAGACTGGTGTACTTACATAACCATTCCTGTTCAAGGTTAAAAAACAATTAATTGGAAATGAATCCTGCCCCCCTTTAGTAACAGGTTACTTTAACTATAAAATCATAGGAAACTGCCACGGAAGAATTGTGTCATTTGTTGCCAATTAAAGGAACTGTGTTCAGCTGGTACACCGACTACCAAATCATTAACTGTAACCTCAAGAGTCTTTCAGGCAGTGCAAAGCTGCTAAACATGAAAACATGTGACCTTTGTATGTGTGTACAAAAAAACATGCACACATACATACAGTAAAGTTTCTAATGATAATAATGACTAATAATGAGTAATGATTTCCAGAATTCACTAAACAACTAAACTGAAGTAACTTTATCAGGACATTGTCTCTATCATAAGTACTAAATTATTGTAGTTAAACTTACTGATTACAGGACCCATAAAATAAAGCCTTACCTTTCTGTACATACACTGTGTGCTGCCTATAGATGATATAATTGGCTGTTACTGTTGGGTAATGGCAGCTGAACACTACTGAAGCAGTTGTGCACCTTATATGATGATAATGATTCTGGAAGAATATTAAACTTGGCTAAACAACAAAAAATGTCAGGTTAATTTGAATGTGTATTTGTACATATTTTAAGATTATTACCTTATCACGAATATAAATACTAATACAACTACGTCACATATGCATCGATAGAAAACGATAGAACATTACTGGTATTAACAATGGGCTACTTTTCAGCAGAAAAGTTCAATTTCTATAATAACAACAAAGCTGAAAAATGAATACAGTGAGGATAAAAGATGAAGGCCTATTTTGTAGATAGAGTCTGCATTCACAATGATAAGAATCGCTGTACGCAACGTTATGTTACATAAAAGATAAAAAATGCTTTCAGTGTCTTGTTGACCCGCCAAGCTGATCAAACGGAATTCACACTCAGACAGACGGGTGGCAGAAGTCACAGCTAGTGTGCGACAACACACAGTGAAGATATCATATTGATGAGAGCGAATGAACATCTTTGACAATACGCAGAGTGGGTGTCATATTGATGGGTGCACTGAAGTAAAAATAAATAAGTAAAAGCTAGCACACCGTGACCATTTCCACTGTACCACATTACCACTCGTAGTCAATAGCATATGAAACAGGTCATGTGTGACTGGCGCCCATTTACAAATATATAAATGGCTTTATGGGAAATCATTAGAGGGACCTGTTTGTTTGCCTTGCTGGGATGTTTTGTGCAATGATCATTTGCTAGCCTGCTGACTAAGCCCATTTGATATTGTTATGCTCTCCCTTAAGTGGCCCTCACTAAGTAAGTTGAACAAATGAGTAAAGCGCGTTGCAGGCCCTGGATACACTCCAGCAGTACAAAGACGTGGCTTTCAAACATGAATAATATTGTACTAGAGTGTGTTAATATGAACAGGCATTTGGGGCCACTGTGAGCTTTTTGTCAACAACATTATTAAAGAACAAAGTCACGCAATGTCTTTATAATTAGACAACAGATGTCCATTTGTTTGCCTCCACACATTCAGAGTTTCATGTAAGAATATTGTGATTTAGGCTTTTAGCTAAACAATACAGGGATGGTGGAACTGCACATTAACAGTGTCCTGCAGACAGCTAATATTTCCACATGAAGCTTTAGAACCTATATTTCCATTTTATAAAACTGTTGGTCAGTGTTTTCTATCTCCAGTATTTTCAGTGTCCAGGTTGATTTACGGCATTGTAGGCATACGATGGTGATGTCTATGCAAAACTTACTTTTTTTTAAAAGTTATGGGTTGATTTAATTTATCCAAGAAATGTTGATGATTTTTACCAAATGTCCATCATTTTAATTGGCCAGACTGGTTTTATTGAGCTGCATATGGCTTTTGATGAACAGGCAGGAGAGCGATTTATATCTTTCTAAAGGCTCATTGCCTGCGGTCATCTCTCTTTTGAATGGAAGCCATTATTGTTAGTGAGAAACAATTGACAAGGATATTAAGTGTTAATGGGCTCCGATGTCATTAATCTGCTGCCTCAAGATGTTTACAGTGGGTGTTTTAGCGAGCTGGTTGTAATGATTTGTATCAGCCAACTCGTTGACACAGGATGGGTTAAAGTGACTGCACTTCCTCAATGTTTATTTATTACATACTCACGTCTATTTGCACACCCCTCCTCCCTGCACAGCATGTCACACTTAACCCTTTACTACCCAATATCACATCCCATTAACAGTCCCCTGCTCTATGTTTGCTATATTGAACATGCTTTAGGGTAGAGTACCCTAAGGGTGGCTTCATACATACCAACATAGCTGTGGGATATAGTCAATTTCAGTTCAATTTTAGTTCAATTTTGGGATAAAATCGCCTCAGTTGATATTTCAGCAAATAAAGATTCAATGCTCATAGAATATGTGCTGAATTCCTGCTTTTATTCACTGTAAATGAGTATGTTTTGTCTATAGCAGTGTATCACCATGCAGTAATATACTAGATTAAAGCCCTTTCCAATTAGTTGAAGAACTCTAATCATGTCTTTTATTGCCACTCATTTCATCAAATCATTTACAAATGTACATAAGGGCATTATGGGAGTTGTTTAAAAAAAAAATCATAGACCTTATCCTACTGAAATACTTCCTTTAAAGGGCTATTCATATCAGCCTCTGCTGCTTCAATTTTGACAGTTCTCTTTTACGAGTCCCCCCAACATTATTATAACATTATATTAAGTTGGAAGCTGAAGTGCACATTTAATTGACAGATTTCTTCTCAGTGAAGGATAGAGGATATTATTTTTTACCTGTGATGAACTTTGATAATATCAAGAGGGGACTAATTAATTAAATTGGTGAGCACAGTTTGGTTCTTCACTGTAAGAGTTTTTTTATCTTTTGGTCAGAACCCTGTGTGAGTCACCTACTACACATGGCAATCCATGCTAGCTGCATGGCTGGCTTGGATGGCAATGTTGGTCTGTCAGTTGGTCCACCACTTTGGACCAGACTGAAACATTTTATGAGTACAGACATTCATTCATTTCCAGAAGATGAATCTTAATGACTTTAGTGATTCTCCTCTAGTGCCATGAGGTTGACATTTGTGGTTTTGAATGAAATGTATCAGTTGGATGTATTGTCATTAAATCTGGTACTGTCATTCATGTTCCTTGCTAACATGCTAAACTAAGCTGGTTAACATGGTAACATTATACCTGCCAAACATTGGCAAATTAAAGTTGTCATTGTACGCATGTTAGCATGCTGACATTAGCATCTTGCTGAAGGCTTAAATACACACTGGCTAGCATCGCTGCTGACTCTTTTTTGCGATGCGTCATCATTTCTGTACAGTCCATCTTGTTTCTCCATGCCCTTATGAGCCGAATGCAAACATATGCTATAATCAGAATCACTAAACGACAGAAAACTTGACTAACTTTCTGGGATCATGATCATTTTGGCACTTAAAACAGGGTCATACCTTAAAAGGTTAAAAACAAAAACCTGGACAATGTAATATGATTGTCAGTTAGCTATAAAATGGTCATTGGTAATAGAAACACTTTATTAAATT